ACTACCACTACCACTACCACTACCACTACCACTACCACTACCACTACCACTACCACTACCACTACCACTACCACTACTACCACCACCACCACCACCCCCACGACTACTACTACTACTACTACTACTACGATTACTACTGCTACTACTACTACCACTACCACTACTACTACTTCTACTTCTACTACTACTACTACGACTACTACTACCACTACTACTATTATGTTTACGTTTTGAGGAATACAACAAAGACAATTTTTCATTTTAAAATTTAATTCTTTGGCGGTTAAAACATAACAAACACTGTTTTTGCGCGAAATAGTCTATCGATTGCACTTGTTCGCTCATATGCATATTGAAAACCTCGGCTAACCTGTGCTATAGCCTTCAAAAAACGTGGATGCGCCTAGTCTGACCAAGTCAGACAACCGATTTTGCAGCAGAACACAAGGTGGTTAGGGTTTATTTTGTTTAATTTTGAATTCGGTGTTGTTTGACCGAACACGTGGACTCGCATGTTTAGATTACCCGGTTAGTTCATGGTAAGCAAAAAATACAAAGAGATTGACCTGCTGGCATTACCTTGCGCATGGTAACAATTTTTTTCAATCACCAATTGCACATTGCTAGCCAGCGGTGTGACACAAGAAAAAAATCCAAATCGACTGCCTTTACTGGCTTGCTCTCTGAGACCGTTGCGCCTTTTCAACATCAAAATTTCCCACAATCCCAAACCAACACCGTCACCTTTTTGTGCAAGACTTACTCTTTTGGGGCTTACCGCAACCAACCACACCCAACAAAAGACGCATGGACACACCAAGACTGCCTTTTCAGACCACTGCCTGTTGCGAAAACTTCAAAATGAAACAAACAATTTGATTCTCTGTGTTTGGGCTGGCAGCCAGAATTTGAGTCGCAATTCTATAGTTCCAAGTTTTCGTTTTTGCAAATGTTTTTGTTGCCAGTACTGAAGAGCATATGCAGCCTACGACATGGCACAGGATAGGAAACACTACAAACTCTTAAACATGACATCTATAGCCATGAACACATGGAACACAGACAGGGTGATGGGTCATGTTCCTGACTTGAACATGATGAGGACCATAGACATAGATTGAGGTGAACACTTGTAACATATTGATAAACATGAACACATGCACAGGAATATGAACACATGAGTGTTTTATAGATGGTAGGGATTCCTCGGAACTGCAAATGTTAAACTATTAGACAGCACATTGATCTATATATTGCACCTCAAATTCTCAGAGTGTGACTTCTCCTAGCAGGAAAATGACACAAAAGGAACAGTTGCAAGCCTACCAGTCCTGAGACTTCTTCAGCTTCAAATCTCGGATTGCAAACTTTAGTCTTGCCCAGCAACAGTGCACGTGTCAATGAAAGAAAACACAAACCTCATATGGCCTGCCGTGTATCTTTGGAATGTGCTCCCCGGGTATCTTTGGAAAGTGTCATCCTTGCTAGTTTCGCCACGCGCCTTATCAATTTTCTTCAATCTTCGCTTCGTGTGTGATGCAGGGTTCTTGCCGCTGCAAGGATTCTTGCACTTATTTGCGAGTCGTGGTTACTTTCCATGAATCAAAAACCAACCACCCTGACCCTAATCATCATTAGTCTTCCAAAGGTTTTTAGTCCTTTCAGGGAAGAGCGTGCAGATCCAGAGGTGCTGTAAGTAGAGTAAGAACAAACAGCTTGAAGAACCTTAACCAACTTTCTGCCTTCCCAACCCACCTGCTGCCGCCTTTGTACCACAAGGCCTCAGTCACTCTTCATGTCAAGGATTTGATACTTTATGTATCTTTATTAAGTCTGACTGAAGAAACCGAGGAAACGGAGCAGTTGTTGGGGTAGTGGCAAACTGATGTGGAGTATGAGTATGTATTTGTGCTTCGACATTCTTTTAATGTTCATATATATATATAATAGTTGGTACAGTATAGGTTTTATTTGTTTTTTGCAATGTATGAGTCTCAGGAGGTCTCCTTTGGTCTGGACCACTGCCAGGAGCTCCCACCGAGTGAGGAGGTCCATGCCTCTCTCGTATGCGAGCTCATGAACGAGGAAGGGACGGAAGGAATGGCCGGAGCCGCTGGGAGCTCAGGGAGAGAAGTGGAGAGCAATCCTCAGAGAGGACACACACTCCCCCCTACAAATTACAGTTGTTTCAGAGGTTCGATCGCAGAATCCCCAAAAGATGGCTTGTATGGACCGGACCCCATGTAAAACAAGATATGTGGGTGTGTTCCATCTACTCTGAAACCGCAGTATTAAAGACATGGGTCGTGTGACCTTCGTGGGTAGAAGCAGCTTCATGAGGCCGATTCGCACAGACAGCTACAGTGGGCAAATCTGTGGAGTTGTCCTTGATTAGTGACTGGTGTTGAAAGATGTGAAGGCAAGGTTGTTCGGTATATATATATATATTGTATGGGTTTGTATTTGTTTGGCGTGTACTTCCTGATGTAGTGGTTGGAAGTTCGATTTGAGCGATTCATTCCCTCGAATCATGCCTCGAATCATACCCCTCAAAAAGTAGATGTAAGAACCAGGTGTTAAGGTGAAGCTTTTGGTTGGTCTTTGTGCCTTGTAGATATCCATGAGCCAATGGTGCACGACGTTTGCAATTGTGTGATCCACGGGCACTCAATTTGGCCAAAATTGTTTGTCTTCTTGTGGGAAGAGCAAAGGCTCACATCCCAGAGGTACTTATGTTCCCATGTGCTCTCGCTTGGGAAGAGCCAAGGAACGCCTTCTTTTGCAGACTCTAATGGCCACACGAATTACACCCGATTCATGCCCGGATTACGTACCTTTAGACAGTCTCCCACCCATCCCACATCGGGCTTGGGGTCTTGGGTAGAAGAGTGCATTTGCCTAGTCTGCCCAGCATCCAGCATATGCTGCTTGCCTATTGCCTCACGGCGCAGAGTGGGCCCACTGCTGAAAGTCCAGCCAATCCAACAATACATTTTCAAAGCTGTGAATCATACCCTCGAACCATACCCCCGAATCATACCACCCGACTATGGTCAAGCAAGAACACACCCACATATATAGTTATCTATATGTTTAGTTTTCATTATTGCTAAATATGTTTTAACAAGATGTGTGTTTAAATAAGACTTGTGGACTTCCAAGAGGACCCCCGGCATGTTTTGCTAGTTGGTTTGGAGAGTGCGCAGCTTCGAGCCATATCATCCCCCCAGGGATCCACAAACTTCCAGGCTCTGTCTATTTCTGAACATCGGGGTGGCTAGGATCGGGGTGAGTTAGAAGGCAAAGAACATGGAATCCTCAAAGGTTGTGATTCTAACATTTCCAGAGTCGACTCTTTGGGTGGTTCGTTTCAATTGGAAGACTAGAATGAAAAGCGGTTCAAGGGACGAGCGAAAGCCCCGTCTGAATTCAAGAGTGAATTTGTTCGCGCGTGCTGGCGCTAAGGGTCCCTGGTTTTCAGTGAGAGTTGCAAGATTGATTCTTACAGGTGCCAAAAGAATTGGTTGCACGCCAGACGTTGATGAACTGTTTGAGTGGAAAACATTGTCGTGACACTGACACGGCCATGTTTCTGTTGCGTGCGAACAGTTTCCAACATATTCAGACATTTCTCAGTTCTGTTTGGTCAGCATGCAAGAAACAGCAAAGCAGAAATGGTTTTCCCTTGCCAGGTTTTTGGCACAAATCCCACTTGGCCCAGTGCAGCTGATGGTCTAGTCGGATTGGCAGAAACAAGTGATGGTTGAGATGCTCTGGATTGTCTGACGCTCCCAGGCGACAACAAGGCCTTGCTGTCATCGGATGATTTCTTTGTGAGGCTGCGGACGATTTCGCATTTTCCACGGCAGCAAGGGAGCATGTTTGAGCCCAAGCAAAGGAAAACAGTTGCCCCGCAAGATCGCAATAACTCAAGGGGTAACTACCAACCTGTGTATTTGAGAGGGCAGGCAGGGTAGAATACACTTTTTTCACTTTTTCATGTTTTGCAGTTTTGCTGGTTTGTATGATACAGCGTATGTTTTATACACTGCGCAACGAATTACAAGGTCAGGCACAAGGTGGGTTAGGGAAATTTAAAAGTGTTGGACGGTGTTGGATGGGATAGTAATAAGCAACTACAACGACAAATAATTACCACCACTACTACTACTACTGCCACTCACTACTACTCCACGAGTACTACCACTACCACTACTACTACTACTGCTACTACTACTACCACCACTACCACCTACTACTACTACTACGACTAACTATAACTACTACTACTGCTGCTAATACTACTAACTATAACTACCACCACTAATAAAAACAAGAAAATAATACTACTACTAACTATAACTCTAACTACAACTACTACTACTTACTACTACTAATACTACTACTACTACTACTTACTACTACTACTACTACCACTACTACTACTACTACTACTACTACTACTACTACTACTACTACTACTTACTACTACTACTTACTACTACTACTACTTACTACTACTACTACTACTACTACCACTACTACCTGAAACTACTACTACTACTACTGATACTACTACTACTACCACTACTACTACTACTACTACTACGACTTACGACATACGACATACTACATACTACTAACTGCTAACTACTAACTACAGCGTGTGCTACCGCCAAGTTAAGATACTTATAACTTAGTTAGCGTTCTTGTCGTAGTTATATATTAGTTAGAACTAAGTTATATCAGTTTTACTTAGCCTAAGATATAACTACGTTTAACTTGTGTATTATAACTTCTTTGTGTAACTTCTCTATCTTAAAGTAACTTGTCTAACTTAACCAAACTGCATTTACCACAAACCAAAATGAACAAAAGTAACAGAATTCAAAAGAACATGAAATTTGAAAATTGCGTTGCTTAAAAGAAAATAGGTGGACCATCACCCAACAAGACGCAATTTAGGTGGACCACCACCCAACAAGAAGACGCAAGTTAGGTAGACCACTCGCAACAAAGGCTGCAGCAGCATGACTGTTTTCTACAGCAAGCACACAGCTTCAGTGTCTGTGACAAACAAAATCTACCATTGTTCATGAACAGCATGATTGTTTTGGTGCAAGATGTGGATGAACTTCTAAAAGGAATACTCTGTTTTTTGGAGTGGTGGTCCACTCATTCAAGATACTGATACACACCATACTCTCTATTTTGGATTGGTGGTCCACTGAGTGGTGGTCCACGGGTTCTTTGCTTATATATCACATCTGGACACATTCTTAACACATTCTCAACACGTATGTGTTAAAAATGTGTTCCAAATGTGTTCGTGTTTTGTTTCTTTACTCAACACATTTTAACACATGTTAAACACATGTGTGTTATGGATGTGTTCCAAATGTGTTCGTGATTTGTTTCTTTACTTAACAGCTTTTAGCACATTTTCAATACATATGTGTTAAGAATGTGTTCCAAATGTGTTCGTGATTTGTTTCTTTACTGAACAGGTTTCAGCACATGTTTAACACATATGTGTTAAGAATGTGTTCAATATGTGTTTGTATGTGTTCGGCTGTGGTCCAAGTTTTGGCCCTCCACCTTTCAACTTTCTCAGCTGCAGCAGCGTTGCGCAAACAAGTTTTTCAAAACAGCAACCTGTCGGTGAACAAACAATCTACCATTGTTCATGAAGGATTCTGTGCCCCAAATTAGTGTGTCCAAGTTTTCTTGCCTCCAAATACATTGAAATACACGCGCTTCAGGGACAATGGCCGTTGTACTTAAGTCAGACTGCAGCCCATCGTGTGAGGGTTCGAAAGTGGACCACCACCAAAAGATCAAAAGGTGGACCACCACCTGCATGCCAAGAAGGTGGACCACCACCCCGAAACAGAGAGTTGTTGATTTAATCGAAAAGTGTATGAAAACACGAAACATTTTTTGGTGACATAGCGCTTTCACGTCTGCAGTGTCAGGTATAAAGTTTCCAAACAGGACTTTAAAGTTCTAACTTCGCTAACTTCTAACTGGCTTTAGCGTTTGGAGCTAACTTAGTTATAAGTTCATTAAAACCATAACTTAGTTATAACTAAGATATAAGTTTCCATAGAACCTAGTGAACTTAAAACTATGTTGCACCATGTTAGAACCTATGTTACAACATGCTGCCCCAAGTTTTAGGTAAGGGTAACTTGGCGGTGGAACACTGTACTAACTACGGTCTTCATACTCTATACAAAGCGTGCGTTGACAGGAGCTGGCTGCTCGACGGTGCCAGAAAATCCAGCACTTGTGGGGAGCGTGGGTAACCTCCGGGCAAGACCTTAATGGCGCAGCCAGTTTAATGAACACGAAGCAAAAATGGTGTTGACGGAACCTGTTGAAGCACGACTTCTCCAGCAGTCCGCTCAACCTTGGTTGGAACAGTGTGGGGCTTGCCCCCCATCGATTGTGACGAGCACCTATCAGCTGAAAAAGCAGGGCAAAGATTGCGGGTAGCTCCATCAAGTTGAGCTCTTCCAACAGGTCCATCTTGTAGGGGCCCCACTCTCGTCACTGTCACAGACAGTTTGAGTGACCTCAACAGTTGTTTTCGCAACTTCTCCACCTGCTTCCTCCCCGGCTTTATCTTGGATGTGCGGTTAAAATAGAGCACAGACTTTGGACTCTAGACTCTAGACCATGTCTGGACACATCATAACACATTGCCATACCTTGTGATGTCACCTTACTGGAGGAGAATGCCAGGCACGCGCGGCGGCGCGCAAAGCTGGAGAGAAGGCTTGCTCGAATCAACTATAGGGCTGGCGTGCCCAACGAATTTTGCATCACTGGCTCCACCGAGTAGGGTCCACAGAATGGAAAAGATGAATTTGGGCCTGGCAGACAGCAAAGCATCATGAATCGAAAAGGTGGGCGCTGGCAGACGGTCTCAGACGGACAAGAACACTCGCAATGATGCAGAAAATAAACTGGCAAGAAGGCGCCAGATCACCAGTTCCTGGCGGCCAGCGTGCTGGCGGCCAGAGTCATCAAACACGACGAGAGCACAGCTTGGAAAAGACACGCTGACAAACCCGGACTGACAACACATAGGTGACCGCAACTTCCTGGCAGCCAGCTCGCTGGCTGCCAGGATTAGAAAGCGACAAGAACACGGAAACCAGCGTACTCCTGGCGGCCAGCTCGCTGGCGGCCAGGGTCATCAAACACAACGAGAGTCTCAGCTTGGAAAAGAAACGCTGACAAACCCGGACTGACAAATAGGTGACCGCAACTTCCTGGCGGCCAGCTCGCTGGCGGCCGGGCTGATCAAAACCGACAAATTCGGAACAGGCACACAAGATCGCAGAAGGGCCACATGGATACCCACCGCTTCCTGGCACCCAGCTCGCTGGCGGCCAGGGTCATTAAACGCAACGAGAGCGCAGCTTGGGAAAGAAACGCTGACAAACCCGGAATGACAGAATGACAAGACAGGCGACCGCAACCCCCTGGCGGCCAGCTCGCTGGCGGCAAATTCGGAACACACACACAAGATCGCACAACCAACTTAAGGGCCAAATGGATAACCACCGCTTCCTCGCGGCCGGCTCGGGCGGCCGGGCTAATCAAACCCGACAAGTTCGGAACACACGCGCACGATCGCACAAGGAACAAGGGCCAAATGTGGATAACCACCGCTTCCTGGCGGCCAGCTCGCTGGCGGCCAGGGTCATCAAACACAACGAGAGCACAGCTTGGAAAAGGAACGCTGGCAAACCCGGACTGACAACATATATAGGTGACCGGTATACTTCCTGGCGGCCAGCTCGCTGGCGGCCAGGACTAGAAGGCAGCACGGAAACCACCAGCTCGCTGGCGGCAAATTCGGAACACACACACAAGATCGCGCAACTAAGGGCCAAATGGATAACCACCGCTTCCTGGCGGCCAGCTCGCTGGCGGGCAGGATTAGAATCTAAGCGACAAGAACACGGAAACCACCAGAACAACATGGATGATATGAGCATTTCCTGGCGGCCAGCTCGCTGGCGGCCAGGATAGACACAAGCATGATTGAAATACCCGAGCGCAAAACTAGATGGTGGGTGAGTGTTGGGATGAGAAACTAGTTTGAACAATTGTGGGGCATCAACTTGACACGCGTCGTTTCTGTTTTTGCTGCCGCACATGTTGCGGGAGTCTAAAAATCAAACTGGGGGTCTTAGGATTTGACCGCCCACCCCCCAAGATGGTAGGTATTTTTTTGAACTGATGGGATGGAGCAGCAGGGCGAAGATTGGAATACCAGAGCGCAACACAAGATGTTGATGGTTGGTGAGAAAACGTGAATGCTGAGATGTAGAACCCGGAAGGAGATTCTGATTCTGATTTGCTCGAGTTGATATTGCTCAAGTCTTTGGCGTATCACCATCTACAGGGTGACTTGTCAAGGATGATACACCATGTCAGTCATGCTATCATATATTCAGTAAAGCACGAAGTCGAAGTGTGACCAAGGAGTTTTTGCAATAAAAGACCGCTAAGACCACTTTGACTTGATGAAAGGTGAAGCTATGCGATGCGTTTGAACAGCGCTCGAAAACCTGGTCATAAACCCTGCCAGTGATAGCTTCGATGGTGCGCCCTGGACTGGTTGAATGGCGAAAGCCTAATGGTGTGACGGTTTTTGTTAATCGAAAGGCTTTCTCGTACTCTTATATCTATTTTTCAATAAAAACAGCCCCTCAACCACCCGAAACTGTGATTGACCTTTGTCTCCGAAAGGACTACTAGTACTACCACTACTACTTCTACCACTACTACTACTACTACTACTCCTCCTCCTGCTGCTG